AAAAAAAAAAAAAAAGGAAAGAAAGAAAAACACCTCAGCACAGACCCAGGCATGGTGGCACAAATCTGTAATCTCAGCGACTCAGGAGGCTGAGGCAGGATTGTAAATTCAAAGTCGGCCTGGGCAACTTAGTAAGACCCTGTCTCAAAACAAAAAATCAAAAGAGCTGGGGATCTAACTCAAAGGCAGAATATTCCTGGGCTCAATCACCAGTAATGCTATTAAAAAAGAAAAAGAACACAATCCAGCACACGCTAGTGATATGCAGTATCTTTGTTAAATAAACTTAATTTTCTAATTTATAAGAACAGTTTCCTTAGAGAAATGGCTAGGGCAAGAAAAGGACATGGTCAGTCTAGGACCTCTTTTGGGCCAGAAAGTACAAGTGCTCAGAGACTAACAGAGTTATGTCAAAAGGGCAAAGAAACATTTCAAGAAGGCTCTACAGTTGGGACAAAGAAAACATCAAAAAGGATAACAAAGAGTATGTTTACATTATGAAAAAGCAATGAGCGGTATACTTAAGACTTGTGTACTTATTTGTATATATTTCACTGAAAATAAGCCTCTATAAAAAAGAGAGAAAAGTGACAATACTAGATTTCAACACTGATTCACTTTGGCTTTTTTTGTGGTTTGTTTTGCAGTACTGGGGATGTAACCCAGGGGTGTTCTACCACTGAGCTACATTCCAGACCTTTTTATTTTTTATTTTGAGACAGGGTCTCTTGAATTTGCTCAGGCTCTCAAACTTGTGATCCTCTTGCCTCAACAAGATGTGTACCACATATGGCCAATTTGTTTCAATTTATGACTCTATTAATCAAAAAAGAGAGAGGAGAAAGAGCCGGGCTGGTGATGTATGCCTGTAATCCCAGCAGCTTGGGAGGCTGAGACAGGAGGATGGCTAATTCAAAGTTAGCCCCGGCAACCACACAGCACTAAGCACCTTAGTGAGACCCTGTCTCTAAATAAAATACAAAACAGGGCTGGAGTTGTGGCTCAGGGGTCAAGTGCCCCTGATTTCAATCCCTAGGACCAAGGGGGAAAAAAGAGAGAGAGAGAACAAAAGGAACAGAATAAAAAAAATTAAGACTTTTCTTTCAGAATACCAACAATAAATGTAAAGGAGAGCTGGGGTTGTAGCTCAGTAGAAGAGCACTTGCTTAGCATGTGTGAGGCACTGGGTTCGATTCTCAGCACCATTTTAAATAAATAACATAAAGGTCCATTGACAACTAAAAAATATATTTTGAAACAAAAAATGTAAAGGAAATAATAAAATTAGAAAATCATTATTTTACAACTTCCAGTATAAAAACCAATGTTGGTAAAATCAGTAATATATAGTAAAACTACTGAATAAAAACTTGGGGGAAGCAATATATTCATAATATCTTAAAGAGTAACCTTCTAATCACAATGGGAGGTGAACTTTTACAGCAGAGATATTATATGCCCAATCTCAGAAGCACCAATAATTAGACAATCTGGCAGTATGTGCCTCCGGATCATAGACATATAATAAAAGGCACACAAATCACACTGTTTTTGCCAAAAATCTTTAAAGGATTGCTCATGAGGTCACAATAAGAAAAGTGTGAACTAGAACATTCTATGGGACAATGTCATGACTACCACTACAAATCGAGTGAGAGCACCAGAAGCAGTGGTGCTCAACTATAATCCCAGCAACTTGGGAGGGGGCAAGAGGATCACAAGTTCAAGGCCAGCCTCAGCAACTTAGTAAGACCTGTCTCAAAACAAAAAATAAAAAGGCCTAGGGATGTGGCTTAGCAGTAAAGCACTGCTGAAAAAAAAAAAAAAAAAAAAAAACAGAGAGGGACTCCTAAATATTAAGACTACAGAGACTTAATACTGAAATACTGACTGGATGCTGGATTAAAGCAAAGCWTTTTCAGGACAACTGAGGAAATCTGAAGAAAGACTATAACAGATGATACTACTAACATTACACATAATGTTAATAATACATTAGCATTGTTAATATTCTAAGTATGATCATTGTGTAGCCATACAATGGTAGAAGAAATGTTCTTGTTCTCTGGAGGTAACYGTTGACATAATTAGGTGCAAAGTCTCATGATATCTGGAATAGCATGAGGGAGAGCTTCGTGGTGATTGAATAGCTCTGTACCTTGACTATGGTTATATGAATCTACACRTGATAATATGCCATAGAACTATACACATTGTACCCATGTTGATTCCTGGTTTTAATAATATACTACAGTTACATGAAATGCAACCACTGGGGAAAACTGAGTGAAGGGGTACATGAGACCTCTGTATACCATTTTTTGCAACTTCCCATGAATCTATAATTATTTCAAATAATAAAATATTATTCAAATTAAAAAAAAATCTTAAGTATATGCAGGCGTTTATATCACAGAAGGAGAAGAGAACACATAACAGCACAAATGTGGCAACATGTTAACAATTTGTGAGTATAGGTGAAGGATAAAAAATGTTCATGTACCATATTCTTTCAATTTTTCTAGGTTTGAAAATTTTCCAAAACTTTAGAAATTTTTTACAGAATATTATTAAGTAAATAGTGGTAAAACTGGCATACAGGTATGGCAGACTGAGGGTGGAAATGTGGAAAATACCAATAGAGTGCTGTTGTATAAGGTACTGGCATATGCTGTATTTCATTTAAACCTCACACAACTCTGCTGATAGGGCCAACTTCCCCATTTACAGATGTGGGCTCTGTCCAAGGTTACTCAGTGAGGTGGTGGCAGTGACAGAAGTGAGCCAGAAGCCAAGTTCAAACCCAGACCTCTTTTCATACCATCATTTTTACTACTGCCTCTCTGCAAAGTTGCTACCAAGAACACTGTCCTCCAAACAAATATTACTAGGGCACAACAGGAACATTACTGGCTTCTGACACTCACTTTTGGTTGGTCAAATACCGATCCCAGCCACGAATAATATTGCCATACATCTGAGTGTCTTCCAGGTAGCTTCCTTCAAAAGCATAGATCTGTCTCTCCAAGTTTGCCAGTGTTTCCTAGAGATGGAAAAACMAGGTCATGAAAAGTCTTTTTAATGTGTCTATTAAAGATAATATGAAATCCTGATATCAGCCTTGTAAAGCCAAGCTCGCCCACACGGACACATTTTTGTGGAGAGAGGGATGATATGGGGAGTGCCAGGTAGTCAAAGCCAAAGACAGTCCAGACCTCTTGGGGATGATGAACCCTTTGGTGAACAGAATGGAATATATAGAGCCTGTCCTCAGAAAAACGCACACACAGGCAAAATTCTGCATATACTCCAAAGGGAAACCTGAGTGTCAAGAACAGGTCTGAGACGGAACGTGGGCAGTCTCCACTCCCACTCACTAAAGGTGTCGCTACCAGGAGAGCCAAGGGTGAGCAGCTTTTCAGCATCCACGGGCTCCCCTCTGCGAGGGCTGCAGTTGCTATGGAAACCTGGAAGGGCAGCTTCAGGTGAGATGAGCCTCCCGGTTGCGCAAGCCAAAGCACTGGGGGCAGGGGGGACCCAGCCGCAGGGTGCGTGAGACCCTGGGTGCACGTCACAATCCGAATTCCCTAGCCCAGGTCCTCTCCCTTTGCCTGTCACCTTCCAGATGTTCCCAAACACACCACATCCCTGTCCATCAAAATCCCCAGCCACCGCCTCCCAGCACCGAAATGGACATGCTTTCCCCACCCTCGGCGGCCAGACCGGGCGCCGGGAGACCCTCCCACCGCCGCCTCCCTCCCACCCCGAAGCCCACCGAGGCGACGCCCGCGCCCGCGGCTGCGGCCGCCCTCACGCACGGCCAGCTGGCGCCCTCACGGCAGCCCGCCCGGCCTCCGCCCCGCGCCTCCCGATCCCCGCGGGCTCCGCAGCCCGGGCAGCAGAGCTGCCGGAGGGCCGCGCAGCGCGCTCCGGGCCCCAGCCCGCCGCGCTCGCCCTGGCGTAACCAACGGCCTGCGCGGCGGGCGGCGGCGGGCGCGGGGCCCAGGCCGGTGTCCCGGCCCCAGCCGCTCACCGCCAGCTCCTGCTTCCGCTTCACGAGCTCTGCCAGCTCCCGCCGGGTGTCCGGGATCTGCGGTGGCGCCGCCTTGTTGTGCATCGCCATGTTGGGCTGAGGCGGCGGCGGCGGCGGCGGCGCGAGGCTGGGGGCGGTCTCTGCGCGCCGCCGCCGCCCGCCAGGGGGCGCCCGCCGCACTGCGCCTGCGCGCGCGGCTTCCGGCGTCGCGGGGCGCCCGCGTGCTCCTAGCCCAGCTCGCCGCGTGGGGCCAATGGGGCTTCTGTGGCCGGGGTCTGCGGACGCCACACCTGTACCGTGCCAAAGCCGAAAAGCTCCTTAAGCCTCCCAAGAATCCTGTGTGCCCCGCCTCGGTGAATGCCTTTCTCTGTTCTCGGAATTGCCCGTCAGAACTTGGGTACCATCCTCAATCCACCCTTTAGATCCATCCAAAACCGAGTCCCGTGGACTGCACCCCAGATGACCTCGCAACCCGTTCACTTTTGTCTTCCCCTCTTATCACTTCCTTAGTTCATTCAGGCCCTCCCTATTTGGGCCCCCATTTTCCAAAAGTCTCACACCTCTATCTTTGGCCCCATCCAGTCCCTTATCCGGAGTGGTGCCAGGATGATCTTCCAAAAACAAATGTGATGTCCCTCCCTTGGGTAAGGTTTTTAACACAAATGGGGGCCAGAACTACCTTGTTCAAGATCTTTCCTCTACATTCGTAAACTGTGCCACCTTGGCAAGGACTAAACTTATCTCAACTCCCTTATTATAGAACATACATGATACTGTAAGGAATAAATCKCTTGATGTATGTAAGGGGCTTGGCAAATAAAAAGGATCATGTATTAGTTTTTATCATTAGGTCCAATATTGTTAACGTTGGCCCCATCTAACTTCTCCAGCCCCGTTCTGAATATTTTGCAATTTTGCAACAGGTCTAGGTGGGATTCTATTTTCCTCCCTTGCATGGAAGTTCTTGGGTTTCCTTAATCTTTTTTTTTTTTTTTTTTTTTTTAAAAGAGAGAGTGAGAGAGGCCCGGGTTTCCTTAATCTTGAAGTTGGTATCTTTCATCAATCCTGGAAAATTCTGTCATTTTTCTTCAAATGCCTATTCATTTTTATCTCCCCTGTAATTCAGACATAAGAATTTTTTTTTTTTTTTAACCAACTGTCTGCATTTTCTTTTTGTCTCTCTGATATAACAGTCTGGATAATTTGTTTTGTGTCAGTACAATACAACCTGGCATCTTGCTGGTCTCCCTTATTAATTCTGTAGTGTATGTGTGTGTGTGTGTTGTGTGTTTGTTCCTTGGCATTTTTTTTTTCCCTGTAGAGTCATTTCATCTGCAAATAGGAAGTTGATTTTTTTTTCCCTTTCCAGTCTGAATGCTCTTTATTTTCCTTTCTGCCTTATTACGCTGAGTAGGAGGACTTTTATATGTACTAAGAGTGATAAAGGTGGACATATTTGCCTTGTTCTTTTTCAAAGGGGAAAAGCAGTTTTTCACCATGAAGTATGTTAGCTGTTTAGGTTTTGTAGATGCTCTTTATCAAGGCCAGAAAGTTCTATATGCCTGGAATCACGAATTACCATTGAATATTATCAAGGTTTTTTTTTCCTGAATCAGTTGGCATGATCATGTTATTTTTCTTCTGTAGCCTGTTGATACAATGGGTTACAGATTTTTCTTTGTGGGGTACTGCAGATTGAACCCATGACCTCACATATGCTAGGCAAGCCCTCTACCACTGAGCCACATCCCCAGCCCTTTTTGTGGCAGGGTCTGGTTAAGTTGCCCAGGCTGGCCTCACATTTGAGATCCTCCTGCCTCAGCCTACCAACTACCTGGGATTATGGTGGCATGTTTTCCTGTGTTTTAAGAAATATAACTGTGAGCTGGGCATGGTGGCTCACATGTGTAATCCCAGCTGCTTGGGAGGCTGAGGCAGGAGGATCGAGAGTTCAAAACAGTCTCAGCAATGGACTCAGTGAGACCGTCTCTAAATAAAATACAAAATAGGGCTGGAGATATGGCTCAGTGGCTGAGTGCCCCTAAGTTCAATCCTCGATACCCCACCCCCCCAAAAAATAAAATAAAAATAACTGTGTCTCTGGGGAAAGAATATAGAAATAATTAGATTAGAAAATCCATTCTTCTAGAAAGTAATTTCATTTATTTCTATCAGATATCCAAGACACTAACAATACAGAAACATAGCTTGAGTATTCCTAAATTCCTGAGTTGTAAATCCTTAAGAAGATTTTATTCCTGACCTACTCTTTTACTCTGAAAGGTGTATGGTATGCCAGTTTTTGTTTAAAAATGAAACATTAGACTTCCCATTATATGTGGACTTTGGGTTTTGATTTCTGTCCCACTCAATGTGAAGTCTGATTTGCTAGAACCAAACATGGTTTTCCTTTAGGTCAAATGTGGTTTACATGGCTGGGGTTGAGCAGCAGTGTAGCTCAGTGGTTGAGTACTTACCTAGCATACACCATACCCTCAATGTGATCTCCAACATTGCATCCGTACTCCATTTCTTTCTGGATTCTTGTTTATCTTTATTTTCTTTTTTCTTTTTTGGTTCTGGGGATCAAACACAGGTATGCTTAACCAAAAGGCACATCCCCAACCCTTAAAAAAGACAGGGCCTCAAACTTGTGATCCTCCTGCCTCAGCCTCCTGAGTTGCTGGGATTACAGACATGGGCCACTACACCTGGCTTTATCTTCACTTTTGACTGTTAACTTTGTGTTTGCTACCAGGGATCAAACCCAGGGTTTCCCACATGCTAGATAAGCACTCTACCACTAAGCTACATCCCCAGTTTTTTTGTTTTTTGTTTTGTTTTGTTTTGGAGACAGGGTCTGGCCTCAGCCTCCTGAGTTGCTAGATTATATGCATCACCATGCCTAGTTTGACTGATAACTTTTTACTAATTTGTCTGCTCTTGGAATCATCAAGAACTTTTTCTGTTCATATTCTACCTTTAAGTTTTTGCAGGTGGGTTCATCAAAATAATGTAGTTCCATTGTGAAAAGAAACCAGAAGTCTCACTACCTCAATTCCCCAACTGAACTTCAAGTTTTCCCAAAGCCTCCTTTAGCATTTCTAGTGCCATTGCTTGGCTTGTTCTGTGTAACTCCTCATTCTTCTATTCATAAGGCTCCCTTAACCCCAGCTTTTCACTTAAACAATCCCCAATGTGTCGTCCATCTATTGATGTATATGGCTGACTCTATGGCTCTGCAAGGGCCAGCCTTTGTACATCTTAACGCTAAAGGTCTAGCTACTTGGGATACTGAGATTCACTCATTTGAACCCAGGAGTTGAAGAGCAGGCTGGGAAACATACCAAAAGCCCATCTCAGAAAGAAAAGAGTGTTTGAATAATACCAGTACTGCCTACCATTGTATGACCTTAACCTTCTATGCCTCAGTTTTCCCATTTGCAAAATGGAACTATGGTTGAAGTCTGCCTCATCTGAGTTATGAAGATGAATTAAGAGTACATATGAGAGTTAGTCCATGCTTAGCTCTGTACTTATTCATAGAAAGTGCTCCTCAATCCCAGCCAGCTTTATTATTAAAGTCTCAATTGATAGCACTTCTTCCACACTCAATTACTGAAAACTTTTATGAATCAACAAGATCATTTCCAAGTAGCTCCAGCTGTGACTTGGTGATGCAAGTTTGGGGGTGACTTCTCTACCCCCAGAAGTCCCATCTAATCTGATTTCCTTGAGATCCCTGTGAAATGGGCAGCTTAATGAATCATCTGTCTTCTTTTTATGAAGTTCTGCAGTTGGAAACCAACAGTCCAGAGGAAAGATGACTTGAACCAGGACTGCATGATTTCTCACTATCATTATGGAACTTGAGGCAAACAATGTATAGAATCCTTTCCAAAATCCCCCACTGTGGGTGTTGCTCCCTAGACTGTTCAGGCTTCTTCAGTAGTCCAAAATCAGCCTGTCCTCTAATGCATATTTCAGATTCCATCTGTTAGTTCAGCTTTGAATCACTGTGACCAAAAGACCTGACAAAAACAACTTAGAGGAAGAAAAGTTTATTTTAGTCCAGTCTATGGTCAGTTCACTGCATAGCCCTAGGCCATAGGTGAGGCAAAGCATCATGGTAGAGAGGGCGTGGCAGAAGAAAGCTGATCAGTTCTTGACAGCTAGGAAGCAAAGAGAACTTGCAAGCAAGGAGCCAGAGATAATATAACCCCCAAAGGCATGTACCCAGTGACCTACTTCCTCCAGCCACATCCTACTTGCCTACAGTTACCATCCATTAAAATTATTAATCCAGCCCAGTGTGGTGGCACATGCTTGTAATCCCAGMGGCTTGGGAGGCTGAGACAAGAGGATTGCCAGTTCAAAGCCAGCCTCAGCAATGGCGAGGCACTACGCAACTCAGCGAGAYCCTATCTTTACATAAAATACAAAATAGGATTGGGATTGTGGCTCAGTGGTTAAGTGCCTCTGAGTTCATCCCTCGTACCAAAAATATATATTCATATATACTAATCCAGCAAATGGTTTAACCCACTGATTAGTTATCTCTCATAATTGAATGATTTCACCTCTGAACATCCCTGCACACAAGCTTTCAGGGAATAACTCATATCCAAACCACACATCATCTCTTCTACAAGATGCAGTTCACCTTCAAATTTTTGCTCCCTATGTCTGACTCAYAGTGATAAACCAACTGCTAGCACACTATGCGTCTGCTGATGGGAAATTCACTCAGTATAAACAAATTCACTTCTATTTTTTTAATGAAAAAACCACTTTTTACTTTTTTTTTACGTATTTTTGCAGTGCTGAAGATCAAGGTATGTGCCACCACACAGAGCTGGATTAATAATTTTAATGGATGGTAACTGTAGGCAAGTAGGATGTGGCTRGAGGAAGTAGGTCACTGGATACATGCCCTTGGGGGTTATATTATCCCTGGCTCCTTGCTAGGAGTGCTAGGCAAGTGCTCTACCACTGAACTACATCCCCAGCCCTTTTAAATTTTTAAAATTAACATACTGTGGAATACCACCAAGCACAGTGGTACACACAGCAATTTAGGGAGACCCTGTCTCAAAAAAAAAAAAAAAAATCGACATGCCACCATAAAATGTGCTTGTGGGGGAAGGGAAATCTCAAAAAGAGTTTTTAAGCAACTGTCTTTTTAAAGTGTTTCCCATTTGATAAATACACTGTAGCTTTAAGATCCATAATTTTAATTTAAACCAAGTAGCCTTTTCACTTGATATAAACTCACATAACCAGAACATTATTACATTATTTCTTAAATAGGCATTGCTGACATTGTGTGCCACATTTAGACTCTAATTAACAGGACATTTTGTTCCTCAGATCCACAACTCATTCTCACAACAGGAAGGATGTTAAAAAATATAACTACCTGTGCAGCATATCAAAGGATACTCAACCTGAAATACATATTTAAGTTCTAAGTTCTTTAAAACTAAGCTATTGTATACTAACACACTCAAAACAATAAAAATTTTTCTTAAAAGTTTATCATTATCCTGGTTACTTCTGCTTCATCTCATCACCAGCACACAATAAAGTAATATAAAGTTACATCACCAATGGCACTTAATGAGCTATCCTTTGTCAATAATAGAATGAGTGAGTGGGTTAGAGTTGCTAGAAGACTGATGGGAGCTGGGCACT